AACAAAGAAAATGTTGGTATTGTTTGAGATATATTCATGACGATAGAGTAAAAGAAAAAATAATACCCAAAAATTATTTTTGAAAAGGAAAATGATACGATAACAAGTTTTGTTTTTATTTTTTATTTTTTATTTTTTATTTTTTGTTTTTTGTTTTTTATATTTAAAACGAGTTTTTAAGTTTTCAGATTTTTGTTGATTGCTTTGTTAGATTTATTTTAATATGCTTGTATATTTAAACAATATCCTTGCTTTCATTTTGCAGTTTTTTTTTTAATTTACTACAAAAAAAAAAAAAACAAATATAAATAGATGAATGTAAATTTCAAATCAATAAGTAATAGATTTAAATTTTGTTCAACTGAATTAATTCACGCAACTGAAAAAAATAACTGTAAAGAAATTGAATTAATTTAAATTTGCGAAAAGATTTGGTTTAAATTTCCATTTTTACTTCTGTTATTCATTGAAGATAAGTAGAAATTTTCAAATTTTGTAAAAATTTCAAAATATTTTTCATTTTTCATTCATATTTTTATTTAACATTGAAAAAATAAACTTTTTGTTAATCTTTTCTTACAAAAAAATTATTGTAAACAGATATTTATATAATATTAATGCATTTTAAATAAGCACAAATTATGTGATCGATTTGTGATTTCTTGTAATTTCCGAAGTCAATCATTCCGGAAAATTATAAACATTTTTCTTAATTCGTTTAAAAGTCAATGAATGAACAATAGGTATGTAAATGTGATATGGTAACCTGGTACACCCTAATTAACAGTTTCACCTGATTTAATATGTCTCAATATTTTAGGTGGAAAAGTTGAAATTACAATAAAATATTCGGAAAAATAATGAATACCGGGAAATGAGAGAAAGAAAGGATTTCGTAGGATCAATACGGTATAATCAGTATGATAAGTCAAACAAGTTTTCCACTTTAATTCTTAATGACCAGTGAAGATGGAGAACGGGAATTGTTTATAAGTTATGAAACCTCTTTGAGTTCATTTCAAAGTAAGCAATTAGCATTATTTCCTTGGAGGAATGAATTGTGGTTAAGTTAAAACAGTGTGTTATGATAACATATCATATCGATAAGTATCCACTGGCCAGTCAAATTGTGTCAATTAACCAATAAAAATATAATTCAGAAACGGAAGTAAATATGAATCAATTGTTTATTTACATTCATAACTGATCAATAAAATGATTAGAAAAGTGAAAAATTAGTAATTATAGCAAACAACGGCAATAATTAATAATAACAATAATAATAATAATAATAATAATAATAATAATAGTAATAATAATAAT